GATCACAAAGTTCTTCCTCTCCCTGCCCGATAAAGGGCACAATTCTCCTGATGAAGCTTCTGAGAAAGCTACATGTAAAATCCAGAAAAGAACACAGAAAAGCCAGGGGGAGTCAGACCCACCATCCACCCTGCTTGATGTCGTGTCTTCAGCTGCAGCACCACTATTTCAGAGTAAGTTGCCACAGACTCTGTGAAGGCTAACGTGGAATAACCCCAGAAAATCCTCCTCCTAGCAAGATACGTTTGAACTCTGCAGTTTTATGTGCCTTCTAAAACTTTATATAGTTTGTATTTACTGCACATCAACTTATTTATATAAATAACTTAGCACTCTGAACTCCTAGTTTCCTTCAGTGTCTAATTAGCCAATTCATTTAATACAATCAGTTCCCAGTTTTTCATCTTACTGAGATGTTCTGCTACATCTACATAAGATTGTCACATTCAATATTTTCCCAGGTATAAGAAAAGGAGAAACAGTCTTTTCTTTCACACTTGTAGATCAAAAAAACCCCTTTGTTGCTTTGGTCTCTTATTCAGCCTCAATACACATAAGCACACACCACTCATCTCTGGATTCAGACACTAGTTTTAGAGAGAATTATGAATGGCAACAAGGAACACCCTGCTACACCTATCTAGTGTTCCTCTGGTACTTGGGTTTAGCATCAGCATATCGAAAAGAGTAGGCCTCTCGTGTTCCTTGATGTCTGACAGCAGCATATCATTTTAAAAGGCAGAGACCTTATGGTGCCAGGAAACTCAGACACCATTATACTACTCATCTTACAGTAACAAGGCTGCATGAAGTCTAATGTAAATCTCCAGGAACAGCTTATAGTGGCTCTCCTTGCCTGACCTTAGGAAGTGCCTCCCTTCTAACCAAATGGGCAGAGAAACAGGGAGAAGAAATCCCTCAGATTAATGACATCTATGGCTCTTATTTCAGACATGCTCCTTGTTCCTAAGGCACCTTGTGATGAATCCTCTGTAGAGTGGCTTTAGCAGGGGTAGTGAGACAAGAAGGAAGGGTACAAGCACCGGGGATAAAAGTGAACTCATTTTGTGATCCATTCTCTACCCTAATATCCGACAAGAATAAGTCTTTCAGCAACTAGACATGTGACAAGATTCACCTCTAACCCACCTCACCAGGTCCAGCACCATGATACCTGACGCACCACAGGCCATAGATGAAGGTGATACAAACACACAATTACCAGGAGAGAAACACACAGAGTAGAGCCAAAAAGAATCATGTGTGGCTGTCTTCTAGGCTCAGTTGCATAGTAACTCTGCTTTCTTCTTAGCACCTGAAGTCAGACAAGAAAACTCTTTTCTCTTATGCATCTCCATCTCACCTGTTCATGTGAACAGTTCACTACCAATAATCCATGTAACTATTAAATGGGTACCAAGCATTAGTTTGCCACTAGCCTATGTCTGACACCAATAACCTTTCACAAGAATCCATATTATAGGCCTCCAAAGAGTTTGTGAGTAAATTAAACCAGTATAATCAGTCCCTGACTTAAGCAATTTTAACTCTGTTCTTGTAAAACACACACATTTTAAACTCCTGTTGCTACACTACACCTAAAGGTAATAAACGCCACACACACACACCCCCCCAACAAAAAACGAACAATGAAAAGCTTATGACCTTCTTTGACATTAAAAAAAAAATGCCCAGACTATTACCATACCAAATAATTATACAAGCTAATATGTTATACAAGTACTGCTGTACAGGACTGTTGTATCTCTGAATGAACATGTAAATCTCTTCTAAACCTAAATTATGTTCAAAACAAAATGGAAAACAGTTTTACACTTCCACAAAAGAAAACTCAAAATTCAAAGGAATCTTCTTCCTTGATTTAGCTTTTTTAATTTCTAGACATAATTTACAGGGAGAAGAAACACATTTTAAAACCTATCTGATATCTTCCACAGAAATAAAGAAGGAATTTTCCTTTCTTGAGGATTAATTTCCCTCTCTGAAGTGCAACTGTTTTTTAAATTTTTTTTTCTAGATCCAAGGTCTAGTTCCAAAAGTTTCCAATTAAAATAATACGGGTTTCCATCACTGCCTCTGACAGATCACACAACTGCATACAAATCCAGGAGACAGACCAAACTGAAAAAAGAAGATGCACAAGAGAAGACTACTTCTATGAACCAACTACAGGTTCAACTTTGCTGCTAATGACTAGCCACCAAGCTACTGGATTTATCAGAAAATTAATAAAGACTATATATCCTTCCAAAGAGAAGTTGTCACTTGGGTAATGAATGCTATCTGAGTACCTGAGAAACAATATAGTCATGTAGTTTGGAAATTTAAAAAATAATAAGAAAGAGGAATTATCCTGTACAACTGTGAAGTTTCTGTTTCCTGCAGATGAAATATTCTGTGCCAAAAACTATCCTGTGGTTGTAAGAGACACCAGACACTTCTGGGAAACTTAAGCAGTGAAATAACACACCCCAAACGCTTTCAGTTCCACTGCAGCAGGCCCATCTATGGGCACAATGCACTTGCAGACCAGGCACAAGCTGACCAGGATGACACACCATATTCCTTGCTGCTCTTGGGCTTCCGTCAATGAGACTGGGAGATAGGCACAGTTCCAAACCAGTGACCTGAACCTCGGTCCACACTTCAGAAAGCTAGAACTAAGAAACAGGATTACCATCTACTGTGCAACTTAACTGAACCCACTAACTAATGGCTTGAAAAATGACACATTATTTATGCGCGAGTGGTCTAAACTGGACGTGAGGCAGACCTTATTAATTTCTTACAACACAACAAAATGCATTTGAAACCTTAACGTGAGCAACAGATAGAGGGGAGGGGGAAGGAGCTGTGAGTTAGCAACAGGGAGGCCACACTAAGTGAAACAATTTTTTTTAGTGGAGATAACCCACTAACCTGCAATAAGCCATGCAACTGAGGATCAATAATTCTGGAATATCTAACGTATGTACAGGTCAGAGTTCCCTCCATCGTAAATAACTTCTAATTAGATGGTGGAGTGGGTGCCAGACAGTGCATCATACCTTAACCAGCAAGTGCACACACAGTTCTGCAGATGTCACAGCAAAGGACCAAAGGCAGTCATTGAGTGGGGCAGTGCTGACATTGTGGTCAGACTGAAGGGTCTTTTCCATCTTTTTCTGTTTAGTGTCTAGTAACCTGATAAAGGGTGAATAAAAGGAGAGAGCGTTACCCAAATTGCTCAAGCCTGACTCAAGTGCTGTACAAGGGCCAAAAGAAGGTACTTCATCTCCTCCAGGAGAGGCTAAAGAAAGGAATAGTATTTCCCCAAGTTGCTAAATGAAAGAGCATCTTACTCTGACAGATACCAAGCCCTACCAGTTCTGTCTTCCTATAAGCTTGTCCTGTAGTTGCCCCTGCCTGGATAAGGCAGTTTTGCAGTTCCACCCCTGCCCAAGTACATGCTCTTCCTCTCTGCCTCTTTTGAAAAAGGAGTCTGTTTTCTCCCCATCTCGGGGCCCACAGCAGCAACAACTTACCCTGAACAACTCAGCTCCCTGCCTGCTCACCTGGAAAGCCACTGCACTCCAAACCATGCTCTTTCCATTTCTACTCCTCCTGCTCCCAGCCTGGGCTGCTCCACTGTAGACTGACCGTTCGCCCTCTCTCCCCATTTTGACCTACTAAGTGCTCTGGGGCAGTGAGTGAGTAAGCAGAGAGAGTTAAAATAAGAGCTTGAGGAAGTAGCAAATTGCACAGCCTTACAACATAACCTTAACAGGACATATGCAGCCCTCCTATGAGAGGGAAATCTTTGGCTTTAACGACCCTAAAATGACTTTGCCCATCATTCCCTTTCAATAGAGGGAATGGACCAAGTAGAGGTGCTTTACCTGGAACGATTTAAAAATAAAACTCAGAACTCTACTGGAATCACCATGCAAACGGCCTTTCTGTGTCTCTGCAAAGAGGTATCAAAATGTAAATACAGCAGTATTCTTAGAAAAGAGAATGATTTCAAGTTAAAAGTATCAAAATAAGCAACAGTTACAGAAAACATGTTTTAAAATTCATCTCTGAAGAATTAACTTTATCCTTGTTCAACTCTGCCAGCACTTGAGCAGAAGGTGACCACTAATGCCACCACTAGCCCCCAAAACACGCCAAGGAACTCCATCCTTTACCACGTGGTCAGGGTTAGCAACAGCCTCGCTGGTTCTGGTTCACAGAAAAGATTGCTTAAATTCCACACCTTTCCAGTTTCTGTTCTTTCTAACAATACCTTTGCAACAGCAGCTGACAAGCTACACTTCTCTGCGGGGCCTTTTCCTTGCTACATATGGTATTATCCAGCTGGCAGCAATACCAACATGCTGCTACTAAGAAACATTTCCTGTGTATTTATTGGTTGTAGTCCAACGTTTTTGTATTTATTCAGCACAGCAATAAGTAACTACTGCCTCATATATGGATTACAGAGAAAACTTCTGGTGGCCACTGAAGTTTTAATCATCTACGTATCCCTACAATCAACAGCTGTAACATCCAATTCTTAATCTGTAGGAAAACCTTCTTATGGACTTGTAGGTGTGCACTGTCCCGCCACGCCGTTCAAACACACGCTGTGACTGCCATCCAGGGCCCGCCTGTTGTAGCGTGGACTAGCCCCTGCAGCACAGGCTGCCGCTGGCCAGCGACACCCCCACCCACACGAGTGAAGGAAGCACTGGCTGCTGGTGACAGTAGCGGTGGGAGGTGATGAGATTAGGTGAAAAATCAGCTGTGCTTCTGGCTCACTGCAGCTGATGGCTGCCCTCTAGCGATACTGATGCAGCAGGAGAGTCAAAGAAGTTATGCACAAAATAGTAACAGATGAAGAATATTTTCACTGCGATTCATACTAGTGCAACAGATCGAAACCACAACTACCTGAACTCAGCCTCTGGGCCATGGTGACACGAAGGTCCAGCCCTGCACAGAGCAGACCTCCAGGGAGTCACAGCTACCTTTCTCCAATGGGACAGGAGGGAAGGAGGGTGTGGGAAGAAACCAGTTAGTGTCTGAAGAGGAGCCAGCAGAATTGTGCCTTGGTTCAGTCACGCAGCAGCGCCCATCAGGCAGTACACCAGGGCTGGGTGGCAGCCTGCTACACTCACCACTGCCCATCTGCCATCCCTGCTGCTTCCTATTTCTTCAGCTGGTGTAGTAGACATGAAAGAACAGAGTTTTATTGCGGAGGAGAGAATACGAGTTGTCAAATTTCAGCAGGTAGATGCCTTCGCCTGGGTATTCATGGCTGCCTGCCTGCACCTCCCGATGGCTGTTCCTCCGATATACAGGCATGATCTCTCCGTAACGGTTCCGCAGGTAGCTTTTGGAGCCCCTTTCCACATCACCAACAGGGGCTAGTCCTGAATGGGAGAGAGGAGACGCTTAAAGTAGGCCAGAGGCAGTGAAACTACTAGGTACTTCAGAAAAACAATCAAGCCCAGAATACAGCAGAGGCATGCAGATATATAGAAGACTATATAGCATTACTCATAGCATCCACTCTGACTTTTCTGTAAATAATACCCACAAAGTCCTGCTTTTCTTATCATGGCAAAGGACACGCCAAGAACCAGTTCTCTTGGGACTATTGATGGGACAACATCCACTTGCCTGCCAGCATGGTCACCTCTCCCTGGACTTACCTTCTAGACACCTCCCTACTTTTACACACACAACAGTGGTCCAGTGATATGGACTGGAAGCAAAAGAAAGGCAAGAAAGCTCTTAGCCACAACCTTACTTAATTCACTTCTCCAAGAGGATTGCTTATACAGGAACCTACTCCTCTTTGTAAAATCGGTTGCAGACACTAAACACACAGCTATACTGGTCACACATGCACTAAAGCCACAGAACAAGCAGCATCACTGTGTGTTTCACAAGTAAAGACAGGTAGAAACCCCCTCAAATGCAGTCAGCAGGAGCTACTGATGTACTGGAGGGGAAAAAAAAAAAACAACACAAACCAGCCAATCAGAAGAATGAAAAAACCCAACCACTAAAAAACTAGGAATTTCTCAGTCCAAGAGGCTAACAATCAAGTTAGAATTTCAGATCTTAATCTTTACTTGAACAAGTGAATTCTGATTTCATTTTATATTGTGCTCAATTTTAAGAATGGTCTTGGAGAAAGGACAGTGCTTGACATATGCTGGAGAAGGAAAGGCTAAATGCTTTCTCATCAGAGCCTAACCAAGAACCCAAAAGGCAACTTGAGATAACAAGTGGGCTGAGTAAACAAAGTAGATGGGAATTACAGCATCTGACAGACACTCAGCAGCGTGGCAACAAGCACCACAAATTAACCCTTGTACGTTCTGCACTAACCTTCAATTTCCTCCTCCTCCTCTTCATCCTCCTCATCACTGGATTCGCTGACCTGAACAGTAATGGCAGTGCTAGTAACTGTGGTCCAGTCAAAATAGACTCCAAACCCAATGTCATAGTCATCTGTAGCAAACTCCCAGCAAATGCATTTCCCGTTAGGATGGGTTGGCACACGGACTGTCACCACCTCGCCTCGCTTCACTACCATCTGGCCATTCTTCTCCTTTCCCATCTTGGCTTTGAATTCCTTCATCTTCTCAGTGGTCCACATGGTGGGGGGAGCCAGAGAGGGAGGCTGAACTGAGATAAGAGAAAAGATCACGGGCTCACCTTACTTTCCACAGCTGACAAACTGGTACCTAAAAACAGTGACACTGTTTATATGATAAGGCTCTTGTATTCTGGAGCCTGCTCCCGGAAGCCTCGGATGCGAAGTTTTCTCGCTC